TACATGGATTTATGTATTTCTCTTCCTGTATGCATCTTGTGAAAACAAGATGGCGGACTTGATGTGCCACTGGCTTGATTCAACAGCCTCGCTTTATGCCTTTTTTCCCCTGACAGTGATTCCAGCAGTGCTCAGTTTTTTTTGTGGAAGAAGGAACAGGGGCCAAGTCTCTCCATTAAAAATAAATAAATCTAAACCTTGCTTCCAGGTTTCTCAAACACGTATTTAAGAAGTCTGTCAGAAAACGTGAAGGTGTCAGGATTGTATTCCCCTATTAATTTCAGCACTGGTTCCCAGTGTAAAAACCAACATGGAGTTCTGATAGACGCATAGCCCCAACTTTGATCCTAACAAAGGAACAGTTTGGAAATACTGAAATGCTTAAGACTGAAGAATAATAAGGGAATAATCCTACTTCAATTTGACAGGCTACAATGGTTATATAAGTTTTTAAGTTTCACTATCAATATTCATCAAGTGTGGCTAAAGGAAGTCTCTCGAGGCATGACAAAAATAGAAAAGTTCCATCCACTCTTAACTCGTGACTGCCCAAATCCTGCAACTTATGCCATACTTGGAGCAGAAGTGGACCACAGAGGTCACAGCCCTTAGCCTATATTGTTATGACCACAGCTCAGAAGTTCAAAAAGCTCTGATAGTTGAATGTCCTCCTCCTGTGTACCAAGGACAAGTCAATAGAAGACTCCACTGAATCTGCTTCCTTCACCTCCACTCAATCAGACGGATGACACAATGTTCCATATGACATCATCTCCTCCTCCATCACACAATAGATAACCAACTTTTTAAATCCGCTGTCACAGCATGTGATGATGCCGTCTAGCTTTGCTGGATTTTAAGAAAGCATTAGACTAGTGCATGTAGGGTTGCCTTTTGTTGGAGAAATCTCTCAAAGAGTCTGCATTCATCAGGCACTGCTTGCAAACAGAATGCTGAGCTAGCCATCTAGCAGATTTTTTTTAAGTCTAGCATTAGAATTTCTGAAAGAGAACATTTTCACATGGTGCAAAAAAGGCACCCCATCCTTATAAAATAATAGGTTCATTCAGACTTAAGGAGAGCATTCCAAAAACAGGGTGCATCACTGTGACAGCCTAACCTCTGGTCAGTACCCATGAGCACTGCTAAATTCTTACACACACACTCTATGCCCCCATGACTCCTAATATTTCATTCTATTCAACTCATTAAAATACACATAATGCCCATGGCAGCAACTCCCTTCTGAAGGTTCCTCAAGCTGGAGGTAGGGCAACACAGGCGAAACCAACCACCCCAATAGCAAACAGAGTGTTTTCCCCATCACACTTCTTCCTCTGGAAACAGCTCCCTTATGAAGCCTCCTAGGGCTGGAGGGTAAGGCAAGGCAGGTGGGAAAAGCCATTACCTGCTGGCCCTCTGTTGCTCTGTTAGTGGCTATGCAGTCACCTGACTCACCACAATTGGGAACAGATGGACTAGATTGATATTTGATTTGATCCACCAGGACTTTAACTTACTTAAGTTCTAAAAAAGCCGGTAATCATTTACTAAATCCTCCGTGTCAACATTACTCAATGGAATAGGAATAAATATATTTGCCCCTCCAAAGGGCACAACCTAGTTAATAATCTACTAAAAAGATCTGTTAAAATAACTCCTTTGTATTTTCTGTGCAAATAACACCCTAAAAATATTATAGCGAAGGTCTTCTGAATTAATAGAGCATCCATTTTGTAACACCCACCCAGAGGGCTTTAAGATTACATTTGGAAAGCAGGTGTTGCAAGATGCAATCTCTTCCAAGTACAGTGGTACCTCAGGTTAAGTACTTAATTCGTTCCAGAGGTCTGTTCTTAACCTGAAACTGTTCTTAACCTGAAGCACCACTTTAGCTAATGGGGCCTCCTGCTGCCGCCGCGCCGCCGGAGCCCTATTTCTGTTCTTATCCTGAAGCAAAGTTCTTAACCTGAAGCACTATTTCTGGGTTAGCAGAGTGTGTAACCTGAAGCCTATGTAACCCGAGGTACCACTGTATTGCCGTAGCAGTTTGCCCATCAATATTGTTGGGGTTTTTTTCTATGGTCAACTAAAAGTCAATTTCCTTCGATGTTTTGTGGCTTGGATACAGGATGCAACAAACTTGAAACAGTATGGCCCTGCAATAGATACAATGCATGGGAAGCCTGTTCATTTGATTGATAGGATGAGTCTGGAAGGATAAGGATAGTTTCCGTTGGGAGTCATGGCACAAAAATTGTAGGGCATAATATACCTTGTCCTTTTTCCTCACTGACTTGGAATATGTTGCTGACTTTAAATACGAAAACAAATGAAGTTGAAAAACAATCACGAGCCAAATGCAGCCCCTTCTCAGTTTCCCTTTCTCTGCACATAACTTCAGAAATATCACGCTAACATAGGGAGTGCACTGTTGTGAAGAGATGTGCCTTATTTCATAACATGCAGAAGCAGCATGTGAGATGTAGGTCAGGGCCAGGTCACAGCTGTGGGCTGAACTTAATTGTTAGATGCTGGGAATTTCTTCCAGAATATCAGCCTTCACTGAATACTCAAAAGATACTGCTTGTTCTATACTAATGCTACTCCCCATAGGAAAAGAGGAGGAGGGGTACATTCTGGTAGCATAGGGCAGAGGCTGGAAGCTTGTGGCCATCCGTAGAGGATGTTAGGTTCCAAATCCTTATCAGCCCCTGCCAACATGCCCAATGCTCAGATTTTTTTAATACTACTAATGTTGTTGTTTTTAATACTACTTCACATTTCCAAAGAAATTTCAAAGCAGTGTACAACCTGTCTTAATAATAAAAAAGAACATTGCAAGATATCAAAATAAAACATTGCAAACGAGAAATCAGATACCAATGCAGTAATGATCCACATTTTAAAAAACAGCATAATCAAGAGGAAAACAGCACATCAACTTAAGCATTAAAAAGGAAACGTTGCAAATAGAAATCAAAGATAAATGCAAAAACAGTTCTACATCTACACATAATTAATGACAAAGCAAAATAAATGGAATAGAAGCTGCGTCCACAGTTGAACTGCCTCCATCCCCGGCAAAGCACTTTAAGCATGATTTACAACCAGCTCATTCTCCCAACCTCCATCTAGGACAACACAATATTATGCAAACAGCAACATAACCCACCCACGTTAGAGCCAAATTCTACACCAGTTCAGTGAGCAGAATTAAGCAACTTTAGAACACGGGAACAGTTGCAAGTTCAACTCTCACTCTGGGCAGCAAAACACACACACAGTTCCTGTTATCACCCAATAGTACATCACTTACTGTGTCCTCTATTTTTCCTACCAGAGAAATACAAAATTAAATAGGGTGATCCCAAAGGGCCAATGCCAGAGGCATCCTGCCATAGTCCAGGGGCACTGTTCTCTGGGCTGCGAGTTGGAATGCCAGTCTCTCCTGTTCCTTCTCCGGAATCAACTCTGACTCACTCAGCAACAGTGTCCTGGCTGGCAGGACAACTGGAAAGAGGGCGGGGGGCAGACAAGTGAAATGGCTTCTCCCTTGTCCTAGGGCAGCCTTTCTCAACCTTGAGTCCCCAGATGTTTTTGGCCTACAACTCCCATCACCCCTGACCACTGATCCTGTGAGCTAGGGATCATGGGAGTTGTAGGCCAAAAACATCTGGGGACCCAAGGCTGAGAAAGGCTGTGACCTAGAGGCTCTTGCCAATAGCAACAGCCAGACAAAACAGGTTGACATCTTCTCAGTGGCCCTCTTGTCTGGTCCGTGGGTTGGAACACCAGTCAACTGGCAGCAGCTGTTTCCACTTTCCCTCTCCTCTGGCATCAGCTCTGACTCAAGCAACAGCATCTTGTAGTCCAGCAACAACGGGGGCAGCACAGTCTCCCTGGCCCTGGCCTAAAGATCATGCAAAGTCCCACTGTTAAAATACAATGGCTTTGGCCCAACATCCATTTATGTTTATCTGCTTCATAAAACTTATATACCACTTAATTGAAAACAACAACAACAAAACCTCAAAGAAACCTGGAGTTTCTATTTGTTCATTTCATCATATGCCTTAACGCCAACTAAGAATTTTGAGCTGCCACCTGTATACTAATTTTGTATAGCATGGAATGGTAAGAGAACCATTCTCAGTGGTTGGATCTGACGAAAGATCAGTCTAGCACTTCTTTCTGAAGTGACCAACCAAATGCCTCTTGGAAGCCAACAAGGCTGCAAATGTGAAGCTCCCTTAAAGTAGCAAATTCATCAAAGTCTGAGCCTGAAATAAAACTTGGATTAGGTATTCTCTCCCTCCCCCCTTATTCTCTTACTGTATGCTTCAATCCCTTAGGGAAAAGATTTTATAGACAACTGAAATAAAACAGGGTCATTTCCTTGGCCTGGGATATAACCAAAATACAGACTACAATTGGGGTATCAAGTACAATACAGAGATGGGGGCACAGTTTTCCCACTGCTAATCTGGGGTCCTTCAGGCATATGAGAGGCACACAGAGAGACAAGCATACAGAGATGGTACAGAGAAACTTGGGTTGTTAGACAGTTATATTGCACAGGAAGGCAATGTTCAGTTTTCCATGTTTCTAACACCATCTTGTAGCTTATACATGGATCCATTTTCAAGTGATATAGTACAGTTACATATCTGAGCTTTCAAGAAACAAACAACTCCTTGATTATTATTATTTTTTAAAAAAAATACTTGATGGACAAACATGGGGGAACCTGGGGTCTTGCGGATGTTGTTGGTGTCCCATCCACCTATTCCCTAACACAGCCAATGGCGAGGCATGATGGGAACTGTAGTTTAAAGCACCTGGAGGTTCACAGGTTCCCCATCCCTGGTCCAAGTGGACTAAATATTTACTGTAAATGGAAACACAGTTCAAACATTGAGAAACACAGAATCGTAGAGTTGGAAGGGGCCCTGAAAAGATCATCTAGTCCAACCGCCTGCAATGCTGGAATATGCTGCTGTCTCATGCGGGGATCAAACCTGCAACCTTGGCGTTATCAGCACCATGCTCTAACCCACTGAGTTATCCATTCTGTACGGCAGGCATAGGCAAACTCCAGCCCTCCAGATGTTTTGGGACTACAATTCCCATCATCCCTGGCCACTGGTCCTGTTAGATAGGGATGATGGGAATTGTAGTCCCAAACATCTGGAGGGGCGGAGTTTGCCTATGCCCTCTGTAAAGGGCTTAATGAGCCCTACGGGTAGAAACTTTTTAGTGGTTAGGTTAAGAAAGCAGCTTTTGCCTGAAAACTTTCTTCGGGAGGCAGTGAGACCTTGTCAACTTAATGCAACTTCCAGCAAGCTTTGATTACAAGAGACAACAGACCTTCTGAGCTGCACAGGGTGCTTCACAACAGCTTCTAGTATCCACTGAGCATTTTCAGCAAGAGAGTATAGAAACCTCAGTTTTTCGGTTCAGGCTGAAGTCAGGATATGACAGGCCTTTGTATCAAATTAAAAAGATGCCTGTGCTGCAAATGAGCATTCAGATTATGACTCTTGCATATATCCTTTGACATTTTGCAGCTTCGGCAGTCATCCAGTGTTGATACTGCAGATCTGAGGTTCAACAGCAGCTAAACAGCAGCAAAGACTATGAAATATTTGCAGTCTTATTTAAAAACATTTAAGAAAACCCTACAGTGCAAAGTCACCAGAGCACGTGTGTGTGTGCATCATAGCCTCAGTGTCGGGATAAGGCATAAGCCATACCCAAAGCAGTTTTGGAGTGTGTTGTCAGCAATATGCTGATGACACTCAGTTCTACATCTGCAGCTGTGGCAGTGGAAGTGCTGGACCGATGCCTTGCGTCAGTAATGGACTGGATGAGAGCCAACAAACTGAAGCTTAATCCAGATAAGACCAAGGCACTGTTAGTGGGTGGTTCCCTAGACCAGATGGAAGGGAAGTTGCTTGCTCTTGATGGGGTTACACTCCCTCTGAAGGAGTGTGTCCGCAGCTTGGGGGTACTTATGGATTCATTGCTGTTGCTTGAGGCTCAGGTGGCCTCAGTGGCTTGGAGTGCCTTCCATCAGCTTTGACTGGGGGTCCCCCAACTGCATGCTTCTTGTAGCCATTCCTGCTGCAATCTACATCAGCCCAATGTTCCTAGGAATAGCTACAGTAAGTACTTAGCAATAAATGGAAGCTGATTGGATTCTTCTGGCCCCCGCTCAAGAGCAAGACGTTTAGGGATATCTGACTTAAAACATTATTGATTGTTGTAAGGGATTTTGTAAAGCTGAACCCATGGGAGCTGAGCTGTTTTGCGTTTAGGTTTCCTCTTAAGTTGTAAACCCAACAACTTATCTGAAGTAACTTCCACCACCGGGGCCTGTTTCTGTAAAGAGCTAGCTATGCAGCTGTTGAAACATAAATTAATTTCATTACAGTGGTACCTCGGGTTACATACGCTTCAGGTTACATACGCTTCAGGTTACAGACTCCGCTAACTCAGAAATAGTGCTTCAGGTTAAGAACTTTGCTTCAGGTTAAGAACAGAAATCGTGCTCCGGCGGCGCGGCAGCAGCAGGAGGCCCCATTACCTAAAGTGGTGCTTCAGGTTAAGGACAGTTTCAGGTTAAGAACGGACCTCTGGAACGAATTAAGTACTTAACCCGAGGTACCACTGTATTTTATATCAGCTTCATGAATTTAAGAAAGTTTACAGAGATTTTTTGGCTCAGCTATAACAAAGGGTGAAAGTCATTCGCACAAGGTTTAAAAACAATGTATTTGCATATTTATGGAATTAAAAGCAGTGACAGCAAATGCAATACTTTTCAGTGGAGTCAGCTCACAAACTCAGGTACTAGGTATCAAGTGTATAGTAATTCAATTAACAAAAGTCCTTCAGGTTTAACATGCTGTGTTAAGGGCTTTCCACATCCACTCAAAACTCCCCGATGTTCTTGGAAACTGCAGCTGTGAGTGGACATGCCCGTGTTACCTGCTGACATGCTATGATATCTCGTATTATGGTTCATTAAAGATTCATCATTAATTTGGAGCCTGGTGGCTGTCAGTCTCAGGTACATCTATTCACTGGTCTAGACGCCTGGAGTCTTGCAATCGAAGCTGCCATTCAACTTTAAAAGGTAAAGGTAAAGGGACCCCTGACCGTTAGGTCCAGTTGTGGATGACTCTGGGCTTGCGGTGCTCATCTTGCTTTACTGGCTGAGGAAGCCAGCATTTGTCCGCAGATCTGCCGGGTCATGCGGCCAGCATGACTAAGCCGCTTCTGGCGAACCAGAGCAGTGCATGGAAATACCTTTTACCTTCCCGCCAGAGCGGTACCTATTTATCTACTTGCACTTTGATGTGCTTTCGAACTGCTAGGTTGGCAGGTGAGCAACGGAAGCTCACCTTGTTGCGGGGATTCGAACCGCCGACCTTCTGATCGGCAAGCCCTAGGCTCAGTGGTTTAACCCACAGCACCACCCGCGTCATTCAACTTTACAAGTTGCCAATTAGCAACTGAAGGTGCCCCCCCACCCCCACCCACATAAAATCGTAAAAATCGAAAGGGACCTTAAACGTCATTAGTCCAACCCCCTGCTTGCTGCAAGATACAAGTGAAGCATCACTTCTTGTTCCTTCTGCATATATTCTACATGAATAACTGATTGCCCCCCCCAAAAAAATTCTCATAACAGTGGCAGACTGTGATTCCGCTGACTCATCCTTAACAAAGCACTATGACTGGGCATGGAGGTGCATGCATGAATTCCATTGTTTAACTATGGACTGTGCAAAGAAGTACATCCTTTTGTCCATCTTGAATCTCCCAACATTCACTGGATGTCCTCTGAGGTCTAGTATTATCAGAGAGGTATGAAAATACCCACATTTTCCACACCACACGTAATTTCACACCTCTGTATCGTGTATATTTCTAGGGGTACACGGAATTGAAGCCATTTTGGCATATATGTGATAAATAAATGGGTAAATAACGCGACGGATAGCACATGAATAGGGTGCACAGTTGTGCCGGTGTGGCCTTAAGGGCTCCTGCTTTCTGCCGTGTTTGGAAACAGACGAGCCTGAGAAACCAGAGGAGCTGGAGCAATCCAATGAGACTGGAAAGGGTTTCTTGTGAGCTCTTTCAGCACAGACTTAAGACTGTCAATAATAGATGACAGGGAGCGGTGCTGAAAGAATCTATTCCCTATTATCTGCATCAGCTTGTCACAAGGGCTTGGATCTGTTATCTAGAGGAAACTTTAGTCCTTAAGTAGACAGTAAATATGCCAGTGGACAAGTGCCGGGGGCAAGAATAGAAGCCCAGGAACTTCAGAACAATGTTGGATCTTTGATCATGTAGTTGATATCTTAAAGCCCAACTCATCTGCTCCTTTCTATTTGCTGAAAGCATTAATGGAAAATGCCCCTTCCGTTGCCAAGATTTACTTGCCTTACGAGATGCTAGTAAGGCAAGCCTCTTTGCATACATTTAGAAAAACAAAAGGTTTTGTAATCTTGCAGGCATGGAGATACAGCCAGCCACTTGCTAAAAGCAACCTAGCTTCACTGGCAGGAGATGAGTTGCTTATTTCCAGAATAAAGTTTTCCCCAGCTCAGTGCCTTCCAGATGTTTTCGACTATGACTTCCATCAGCCCCAGCCAGCATGGCCAGGGAGGAGGGATGATGGGAGTTGTGGTCCAAAATGTCTGGAAGGCAGCAGCTGTCATAATCCATGCTTGCACATCTGCTTTGGCACGGGATGAAAAAAGAATAATACAGCTTTATGCTGCTTTGAAGCCACTTCTGTTCACATGCCAAGGGTTAGGAAGAATTTTGATTTAACAGGGTTTATAGATGGCCATGTATTGTCTGCTGTTGCAGAACTGAGTGCTTATTAGTAGTGACATCAGTTCCTGTGGAGCCAAGGGTTGTTTACAATAAAATAACCACCAGATGTAAAAAGTGGTGGAACTTGACAACAGACAAAGAGAAGGCAGGAGGATCCAGATATGAAGGGTAAAAGGTTGCAATTAATTATTATTTGGTGTAATTTCATTTAAAAACAAAAAACAAAGCAAAACCACAAACACATTTTGCCAAATGTGTGTGTGTGGGGGGAAAGTTATCGAAATTTCATCCCTCTTTAATTATGCTCTTAATAATTATATGTTTAATCTAATGTATAATTACGTGTTTAATTATGTGTAATGTGTTGGATAAGTGCCGGGTCCTTTTAGTGTGCTATGTTTCATAAGCTTTGGTAATATTTTGATTCCTCTCTTTTTTTGCTTTATATTTCATATTATTAGATCTTCCAACATTTCCTTGGTTAACATACCTAAAAAGTATTCTTTCATCCCTGCAATCACCACCAAGATCTTAGCACATTCTTTTGTTATAACTAAACACAGTTATTGTAATACCTTGTGGGCTGGTCTTCCTGCCTCTGCTCCAGAGCTCCTCGTTTTCCTTTTTAAATCTACTGTCCATTTAATTTGTTCTGCTCTCTGCTGTTCCTTTGCTTTCTCCTTATTCCTTCCTTTGCACTGGCCACCTATTGCCTAGTGGCTCTATTTTAAACATACGTTCCCTGCATCTTTATTTTCTTCCTCCCTCTTTTTCGTCTCTCTTATTTCAGGCTCTCATTCCCCACCAGTGTTCTGATATTGTACCAATCTTCTTGTCAAATGCTATCTCGACTTCCATTTCTCACCTGCAACCATTATCCTTTGCCACCTCGTGTCACTTTAAAAAATGGGCCTTGAAGACCTTCGTATTCTATGCTGCTTTTAACTAATGTTTGAAATGCTATGGATTGTTTTTCCCCACGGTTACTGCTCTTGCGCTCTGATTTAAGAGACTCTTAATTGATAAACCTCATGCATGCTCTGCAATGTGTTGCCGCTGTGCCAGTGTTTTAAAACTCTGACGTGAGGGGAGGTTAACCTATAACTGTGACTAGTAGGACTGTTGGGGGGAGGACCATGTATTCAACACTGATATCTTTGGAGGACAACATAGAAATGTAATAAATGATGTAAAAAAATTACTATATGCAA